CCTCTCCTCCTTTTCTGTATGATTATGCTTCTAATTATATATAAGTTAAAACACTTGATATTATCCCTAAGGTAACTATGGCTCTTTTTATTTTGATTTTTTCAGTCTTTTTTTTTCTTCCCCCCTGTAAATCTCATTTGGATAATTTCTACTGTGTCTTCAACTTTACTCATCCTTTGTTCAGCTGTGTATAATTTATTTATAATCCTATCCAATGGAATTTTTGTTTTAGATCCTTTGTTTTTTGTATCTACAAGTTCTGTTAAGATGTTTTTATATGTTGCATTTGTCTGCTTATTGTATTGATAACTTCTTTTAAACCTTTGGGCATATTGAAAATAGCTATTTTAATTGTATTGTTTGCTGATTGTCATCTCTGTGATGTTTACTTCTCTTTCTGTTGATGGATTATTTTCTTTTTGTTATGAGTCATATGTCTAGAATTTTTTTCACTTGTCTAGAATTTTCTTTTTTCTTGTTTGGATGCCAGATATTGTAAAGCTCTCATTGCTCACTGCTTGATTTTGGTGTGGTCTTTAAAGATTGTTGGACTTTGTTCTGGCAGATAGTTAGGGTACCTTTGGATTCGGTTGATCCTTTCAAGGCTTGTTTTTAAACTCTTTAGGGCAAGTATAGAGTAAACTTATTCTAGGGTTAGTTAAGTCCCTCTACTAGGGCATAACCTTCTGAGGCTCTCTATCAATTCCCTGTGTATGTAATGACGTCTTTTCACTTTGAATTGTGAAACTCTTCATGATGGTTATCAGTCCTGTGTGCTCTGAGAATTGCTTAGCTTACAGTTCCCTGGTAATTATTATTTTTCCAGACTCATGATATTTTATTATAGCGATGGAAATTCAGCCAAAGTCTCAGGGAACCCTTATGCAGATATCTAGAATTTTTTATCCCTCTTCTGTACTCTGCTCCACAAATTATAGGCCTTTTAATTTCTCTGAACTCTGATTTCTGTCTCCTTAACTCAGCAAGACTTTCAGGCTCTCTTTGATTCTGCCTTCCTAGTACATGGTCTGAAAATTGTCCCCACTTGAAATCTGGGGCAATTGTAGGTTCACCTTATTTGCTTCCCTTATCGGAGAGATCAAAGTCCTGCATTGTGGTTCATATTTAAAAACAATTGTTTCACTGTTTTGTCTAGCTTTCTAGTTATTTATAATGAATGTATAATTCTGAATCCTCATACCTCCTAATGACTAGAAGTGGAGAAAAATAAAGTAATTTTATGAAATGATTAAAAGTGGTGGTAATTTGTGGAAGTAAAGTTAAATATGAGATTAGTTATGAAAATATATGTATAGCTATATGCATTGAATGGCCTGATCTTATAACTGTATACTCAGTAATTAAAATAAAATTGTTCATAAATCACTAGAGATATTTTATAATATAGTACTGTTTTTAATTTCTCATGCTAGGGTAAAATCTTTACAAGATAATATTCAATATAGCATTTGTGTGCAAACTTGTTTTTTCCTAATAGTGCTAAATTTCCAGTAAGTAATTGAATAAAACAGGGACACTAAAGACATTTATTTTTTTTGGAAATTTGTTTTTTCATGGAAACCATCAAAATTATAAATTATAATAATAAAAAATTTTGTTGCATTGTTTTTTTACATTTAATGACTTGTGTGCATGTGTGCTAAATTATATAAATTTTCAGGCTTTTTAAGAGATTTTTTGTAATTAGGGGTTTTAAATGTCTTAATCTCTTTACCACAATATTTAAAAATATTAGAAGGAAAGTTAAACTATAAATGTATTATAAAATATCTTATTCCTGGTAGAATCATGCAAAATTTGACCAGTAAAGGTAGAGATTGCTCATATTTTTGATGTTATTATAGTTCACTATTTTGTCATGTTTAATTGATCTCTTCAAATACTTATAACAATACCTAGCATTAGATAGTGGTTAGAGTTCATTGGGATCCTGTATTTTCAACTATAATTCCTTCCTTCAACAAATTGAGCTTCTAAGTCAGAGGCTGCATACTTTGTTTTACAGGCTGAGCCAGGCTAGAGACATAATTTTTCAGCCTCTGGTTGGCCCATTTATAGTGTTTTTTCCACCCCCTAGAGCAATCCTGACTTGCAACAATTTTTCAGAGCTGCCCACTTCAGATGGGGCATAATTTCTTCAGGTTGTCATTCTCATAATAACTCTTCATTCTATAGCCATTAACGTTCACCTAATTCATCCAACATGTATTTATTGCGGCCTGAGACCTGGCCTCTTCATTCCTTTATGTTACATGTTGGGTGACTGGCCTGGAGTGAAGGAGAGAGCTAGAGTAAGGAGAGGCAGACGATTTTCAGGGACCCAGAAGTAGTTCTTATATACATTTATACAAGGTTTTGTAGTTTTTATTTTAGGGCCAATCAGTTGTATTCATCTGAACTCAATGGCCATTTCCCCCAGTGATTGAAAATGAGTAAGTAAGACAAACCTGTATCCCTCAGCTACAGAGATAGAAGAAAGAAGAGCTCAGTAAGGAAGTTGGTAAAAGGCATCTTTTTATGGAAAAAGGGCTTGGAGGGTAGAAAATATCTATTTTACTTCTCCACCAATCAGAGGCAAAAGCTTGTTGCTCTCTTAATTTAAACCTTTGTCATGGCAAGAGATTTGTTTAAAGAAAATACTGCTAGTACCATGGCTGGTGATTCAGTACAGGTAAAAAATTACCAGCAGGACAGAGATTCCATTTCGATGGATATACATGAGAAATATATAAAAGGAAAGTACGTGAAAAGATATAGGCTTTTTTATTTCACATTTACCTTGGAAGAAGAAGAAATCAGGAAGACTCAGAGAACGCTGTGTTCTCAGATTGTTCATTTCTTTCTCCATTAATTTGCTTTTCCTTTGAGCAGCATGGATATGCTGCACTGTGAAACATTGTGTTTGGAGAAGCAGTACTATATAGGTTGGCCCATCTGGTGGAAAAAGTTGTTCCCTTTTTTCAAAAAACCTTGTCTGTGCATTATGACATCATTCCTTATAAAGGTAGAGATAGATTATTGTGCACATATAACATAATGAATTTATATGAGATATAGTGACTATCCCATGAGTGGGGGAACAAGACATAATTTGGAGTTGGAGCCTAGAGTGATTTATGAAGGTCATTGTCTTACAAGTTCAGATGCTTTCCATATGGCGTCAGAGAAACCCCCTTATGTACTGTATGTATAAAACATATGTAGCAAATTAGTTTCACTTACATTTTTTCCCCCTAAATATGTTTTGGTTTAAAAATGACAGTGAATTTTGTTTATCTGGTCTGTAAAATACTACACATATTTTTTTTTTTTTCTAAGAGAGAGGTTATTTGTTAATAATAACAGAGAGTTTTTAAATGAGACAGACAGAATCAAATGTGAGCCCCTTTGACACTGGGTCTTGCTGTGGCTTGGGTGCCAGAGTCTTCCGTCTCATTGGATTTATGGCTTAACTTCTGTATCACGCTTAACTTGAGTGTGCTCAGCAGTGTGACCTTGTCTAGGAAGAGGAAAAATGGATTGTTCATTTTCCAGCTGTAGTGTATTATATTTCCATCTAATTGCATTTTCAAATAGATGTGAAGATGCAACTACTTCCACTTAAAAGGAAATTGCTCTACTTAAAGAAATATGGATAATGGATTAGAAGTAATATTCAAAATTGAAAGTATTTTATACCTAAAATAATAAGCTTTTGTTTAGCCTGAGCAGCAATCCCATTGATAGATTTTTTTTTCCACCATTGAGTTGTGAAGACTTAAAGTGTACATGTCCTCAGACTCTAGCCCAGTGTTTCAAATCCTTTAAGAATTGTCTGACCTTATAGAAGTTTCCCCTCTAGAATCTGTAGCGTATACAGTCCATTTTAACACTACAAAGCATGAGTGCTTTATAAAATTTAATTTCATACTTTACTTGAGAAGTTTGCAACACACTTTAAAATTTTAGAAAGTCATTGGGATGTGACAAAACCAAGACTGGAAATCATTGGAGCTTTAACCCCAAAGTAAGAGACTACCTAAATATTTGTGTTGGAGAAGCGTTTCTTGCATTATTTCAACACATGTTTGGCTGGATGTTGCAGCTGATCAGTATCTCATTTATGGTACCTATCAAAACTGAAATATTCAACCAAAATTATAGAATTTTCACAGTTATATGTAACTTCTAAGTCATACATTACTGTAGTGTAACAATTGTTCTTTGGTTCGAAAACTCTGACAATATGCATTTGAAAAATATTCTTAAGAGGTAAAAGTAACATCTAGGAGTACATGACTTTTTTACTTTAGAGTGAAGTATCTAGAAAATCATTAACTTGAGTAAGAAGAAAGTTGGGATTTGAACAGGTGGCTTTTTAGTTTTCAATCTCCAGATTTAACTTAAAATGAATATGTATATGTGTATGCATATATAATTGTATACGCACACACATTCAAATTAAGCAATAATGTTTAATTAACACTAGATGATTAACATATGTCAGCCCATCTTGGCAAAGTGTTTACAGGCTCCAATCCAATGCCACCAAAACCTGATATTGTACCTTAACTCTTATGAAACATTCAGGATCTGTGCACCAGGATGTGTGAACTATCTACTTATTTCTGGAGAAAGAAAGAATTGTTTCAGAGAACAATTGTTTTGACAACCAGCTTCCTAGATAATGCTTTTCCTGTGGATAAAAAAGGATCACTGGTTTTTGAAACTCGATTTAGCTCTTTCAGAATCACTATGATTTGTTTGCTATAATGAAGTTTTCCCTTATGTAAGCAGCAAATTTTGGGTTTAGTACAAATCTTCCCTTATTTCTTCCTTCTTCTAGCAGACAGCTCACACAGCTGTGCACTATATCTCTATAGCAAAGTCATTTGCACCTTCAGTGATGTGATCAGGGGTGTGAGGAAGTAGTACAGTAGCATGTCCTCTGGATGTCTCCTTGTTCTCTGTGTTCTAGCTGTATGTGTCACATTGCTTAGCAGGCTTCCATTGGATCCTGGTTGGCGTTGGAGACTGAAGAAAGTTACAACCTTGTGAAATCTGAACATCTGCTAGAGTCATGAATGACCTTGGGGATGAGCTCATCAGCAGGTAGGTCAACTAACTCCTCAGCCCAGCTATCATCAGCCAGATTCACTACTGTTGCCCCATTGAGAATTACTAATGTGTCCCAGTGGATGTGAGATTGGATAGTCAGCCAGAAAGCTAATTTCCTCCTGTCTTGGGGTGGGGGTGAAGAAGAGAATGGAAAAGAAGGGGAAATGTGAAAAGCCATTTCTGGAGATCTGTCTGAGTTGCTTACCCCATAATATGTACAACAAACAGTGATAACAGCAAAAAGCAGAGATTGACATGCCTTAACTCTCATTTCCCCAGAGGCAAGATGAACTAGATCTTGAAGGAGAATGTCAACCCAGACTCTGTCTGTCTTTGACCAGCCTCTCAAACTGTGGTCACAGGGAATGTTCATGGCCCACTTAACAAGATTTATCAGTGAAAGGCAACAAAGGTGCTTTTCCCTAACTCACAAATTAATAAAAAAAAAAAGTAACAACAAAATAGGTGAAACAAAGGATATTATGGCCAAAATATTCTCAATATTACTATTTATCCCATAAGTTTATCTTAAATGTTTCAAATTAAGTTCACATTCATTAAACACTGCTCTTTGTCCGGCAGTGTTTTCAAATCATACACAACCCCTGTCCTTGACAATCTTCCAATCCAATGGAACAGAGAGGCACACAAATAACTTCAGTTGTTGGGGAGCATTAGCAGGGAAAATGTACCATCTTTAGAGCTGGGCTTGTATCTCAGCTCCTGAGCAGATCAAATTTCTGAGCTTTAGCTTCTTCATCTGCATTGAGAGGTGACAACACTTTCTGTGCCGATTGTTGAGAGAGAGTGTGTATGTGGAAAGTGCCAGCGCCTACCTGCTGATGTGAGATTCTTCTTTGCTACATCTCAGCGAGGTGGTGGGACAGCATATTTTATGACACTCTTGTAATGGGGAACAAATTTTCTGGTTACAAAATAGTAATGGCTAGAAAGAAATAGGGACTCAAATGCTAATAATTCCCTAAGAATTATTTTGAGTTGAGGCATAATGTGCAGCTGTGGTATTGCTGGGGTTTTGCCAACTTTCAACTAAAAAGTGTTACACATTATTACCTGTGGTAACTGGTATATCACTGTTTTATCCTTATAACTAGTTCTGTGTGGTTTTCTCATGATGTTGTAGAATGAGTTATAATGTACCATGGGAGTCACCCAGTGCTCCCTCCTCCATTTTTGAGGTTGAGAAGCAGACAGGCCAGTCTTTCTGTTAATTAGCGACAGAGCTGGGAGAACTCAGATGTGTTGAGCTCAGAGAGTTTTACTCTATCCCACCAGCTCTCTTAGCTGTGACCTGCTGGTTGGTTGTGTGCCGTGTGCACATGGTTTACACAACAGGCTTCAGGGTGGTGATGAAAATTATTATTACTGTGTTTGGTTACTCTCTTTATATTCTCTTTTGCAGGAACTTATTTTCTTAATTTTTCAAATCAGTGCTGTCACTGAACAGATATTTTTCAAAGTGGCCTTTATTGCTCACTTAGATTGAAAACATTAATGGTCTTTGGAGTTATGCTTGAAAACAAAACTGTGTTCATTTTTTCAGTAGACTCATTCTTTTCCCCAACAGCTGTCTTTGTTTCTTTTAAATCTAAACCTTTAAAAGCATGCCCTTTTTCACTTGTTGTGTGTTAATATTTTTCAGAAATATTCATTAAATGGATCAATTTTTCCACTCCTTTCAACACTAAAAAACAAAACAAGTTTAGTCATGTCAAAAGCAAGTAGTCCACAGGGATAATCCAAGCAAAATGCTCTTTCTGGATATAATTTAAAAATTTGAGGACCATATAATTTTGTGAATTCTATAAGGACTGGTTAAATCTACTAGGAAAGCAAAGTTTGTTATATAGAAATCCAAATACATTTGTAGCTTTGAGAAGAATATATTACAAAAGTGACCCAATGATCCATAGACTGCAATTTTTACACTAGGTTGTCAGGTTAAGAATCAAATACTCTGTTGTATAATACAAAAATATTTTACATTTTATTGCTTTAAAAATGCATAATAAATTTATACCAATATATAATACAAATGCCCTCACAGCATATATTATTGCCAAATACTTAATTAAACATATTTTGGTGCATAGAATATTTCTATCCCCAGCATTTCAAAGCACCTCTTTGCCAAGATGAAGCTACCAACTAAGCATTTCTTGAGGGACAAACACTGGTCTAGGAATTTCTTCAGAAATCATCCAAGAGCACTCTAGGAAAAGAGTCACTATAACCCATATTAAAGACTCTTTGGATTCATTTGAAGCTATTTACTGTGTCTTTTTTGGTATTTCCTTTTATGTAATAGTTAATAATAAACTTGATGAATTTATTTTCTAGAGATCCATTATTCTGATCATTTGAGGCTCGTTATGTATATAGTTCTATTCTGTTTGAGGAAAATGTAAAATAAATTGGAGAACAAGAGAGAGAGTTATTGTCAGCAGTTTTTCTTAACAGTTATTTCCCAAGTTTCATAATAACTGTGTGCAAGACAATCCATAAAAGACTTTGCTGGATGAGTTAAGAGACTGCTTTATAAGTTGTAGGTTTAACTTTCAAATTGTTGCTACTGAAGTGACATGGAAGTCCCTTTTCATGTTTGTTGAGGTCATCGACCTCATCAGGTCAGGTGGACAAGGCTTATTTACCATGACCTGTTTTGAAGGCCATGTCCATTCTTGAATCACCACCACCCTACCTGGTGCCCTACGCAGATGAATAAAAGGCTGCTTTTCATTGTGTTGTCTCTGATGAGTTCCTAAACCATTCCCCAGGTGTTCTGTAATTTTCCACATATCTTGGGAGTACTTTAGTTAGGATCTGTTTGGGTAGTGTGATTTAATGAGAGAAAGAAGGGATTAGGAAGAGGAGCTGCATTTCATCCCAGGCTGTATGGCTTTGGCAGAGCAGACTAACCTTGAATCTTGACTCCCATTTCTAAGATGGGGATAATTCCTTCTTAGCATTCCTCATAGGGTGGTTCTAAGGATAAAGTGAGATAGCATGGATTCTTTTTAAAAAAATTTATTTTTTCCATCATCATTTATCCCCTCTATGCCCTCTTGAACCTCCCCCCTGCAATCACCACACTCGTCCACATCCATGAGTTCTCTCTCTCTCTTTCTCCTTTTTTGCTCAATCCCTCCTCCCCCAACGCTTCCTTCCCCCACCAGAGATGTCAGCCTGCTCTTTATCTATGAGTCTGTCTCTATTTTGCTTGGTAGTTCAGTTTGTTCATTAAATTCCATATATGAGTGAACCCATTTGGTACTTGTCTTTCTCTGGCTGGCTTATTTCACTTAGCATAATGTTCTCCAGGTCTATCCATGCAAAGGGTGAAATTTTCTTCCTCTTTATGGCAGAGTAGTATTCCATTGCGTAAATGTACCACAGCTTTTTATTTTAATGTGGACTCTTTATAGGCTCTGACATACTAAAGTGTAAGTTGCTGTTATCATTGGTAACAGAATTGGCAGACTTGGCTTCTTCCTTCAGTCTCTTGGGGTTTTTACTTATCTTAGCATTCTGTCTGCTCTGCTGTTGCTACGATATCAGCAGTGGTTGGAGCAGCTGAGTTCTGCCTGTGTTCCAGGCCTCCTTCATAACGTGTTCCTTCTCTTAGTTGGTATCAGTGTAACCTTTCCTTGTTGTGAATTGAGGCAATCCTTTAAATAAGTCTTTAGCTTCTGAGTTGAAAAGTTTTTCCAAGGGTCCACTCTTTAAGCCAGTTAAATACAGCTATAGTTATGTTCTCCACTATTTTCCATTTCATATGGAATGAAACTGCCTTCTGCGGCCAACAGAGCCCCTGTATGATTTCCCTGGCCTCTGCCCGCCGTTCTGGTCATCGTTCTGGTCACTCTCTCTCTTATTCATTCGCTCTGGCCACGCTGGCTTTCCTATTCCTTCAGTAAGCCCAGTGCATCCCTGTCCAGTGCATTGGCACTTGTGGTTTCCTCTGCTTGACCAGCTTTCCTCTCTTTCTCCACCCTATTCCAGTCTTCTCAGAGCTGGTTACTTCTTGTTTTTTTTTTTGGTCTCAGTTTGAATAACTTATTCTCAGACAACCATTTTCAACCCTTCAATCTCAAGAAGGTCCCTCACCCCACTCTTTCTCTTTCACATGGCCCTGCTTTATTTTTTCATGACCTAAAATACCTTTTTAAATTTATCTCTTCACTTATTTATTTGCTTTTCCTGCCATTCACTAGACTGTAAGCTGCATCAAAAGGGCAAGGACCTTTCTTCTCCTGTTCAAATCTCAGTCCCCAGGAATCTAGAAGAGTATCTAATGTGTTGTAGCACTTCATAACTTCTCATAGAATGGGTGACTTAAATACCAGCACTTCCATTTACAAAAGAAAGTATTAAAGTTTAAACCAGCATGCAAGTAAATGACTTACAGTGTAATTATGTTTATTCCTATTTTTGGAATTTTTAACCCAGCGTTTAGATAGTTACCTATTATTTTGTTATAGACCACCCCTAAATTTAATGGCATGAAACAACAATCTATGATTCCTTATGATTCTGTGGGGTGGCTGAGGCTCAGTTGGGTGCTTTTTCTGCTGGAACCTTGGAGGGGGTGAGGCTGGAGCATCTAAGCTAGCTTCACATATCTTTTCATGTAGCCTCCTCTCTCTGCCTGAGAAGTTGGACTTTTTTCATAATGACCAGCTTCCAAGAGAGAGTAATCCAAGCAGACAAAAGCACAGCATCACTTAAAGCACAGTATCACTTCTGCCACATCCTGGTGGTGAGAGCAGTCATAGAGCCAACCTAGATTCAATAGGTAGATAACAGGAGTGTCAAGGAAGGTAAGGCCATCTGTGTTTTACCATAAGAGTGATCTTTTCCTGAGAGAGAAGATAAGGCGAATTTTAACAATAACACACTCACTGCAGTATGTTAGACACAGAATAGAAGAGGCTCACAGTCTGTGGGGAGGTGTGGTATGCAACTCAGGGTTT